ATCACGATACATGTATACATATATATTGTAATTATTAAAAAGATGATACTGATACCTAACAGGTCTCATCAGAAACCCATGAGAAAGTCACCTGCCCATTCAAGAATCACATGTTCCTCTTCAATTCATCTCGTTATAAAACCCCTAGTTCATTGCATTATTGCACACACCAGACTCTTGCTTTTTGTGGATAGCCAGCTAGCCAGCCTTCTTTCTCCCAACTCAGCCAAAAAGCTTATTCCTTTACAAAAACCCATTCATCTAAATCAAAAACGAACCTTAAGTTTGCAGGAGATAACGTATACATGCACACCCGAGGTTTCTCATTAACCATCTATTAACTTTCTTTTTTCTTTTCGGCCTGCACTTGGAGCTCAATTGGGTTTGAAATGGGAGCCATGAAACTCAATGGTATAGTGACATTTTCAATTGCGTTGTTATTGATGGTAAGCTTGGAGGGATCAGCATCTGGAAATTCTAACAGTTATGTTCGAGATGCTTGCAGTGTTACGCAGTATCAGGCGCTATGCATAAAGTCATTAGCATCATTTTCTAGAGTTGCAAAGAACAGCCCGAGCAAGTGGGCACGTGCAGGCGTGTCAGTGACAATAACCGAATCCAAGAGTGTGGCTCGCTACCTGTACAGGCTCAGCAAGAGCAAGCACATAAGAGGGAGAAACCGTGTTGCAGTCTTCGATTGCATAGAGTGCTTTGGAGATGCAATCGACCTGCTGCATAGGTCGCTTGGGATACTGAGGAAGCTAAGCGCAAGGAATTTTGACGCGCAGATGAGCGATCTAACAACATGGTTGAGTGCAGCTCTAACTGATACAGACACTTGCTTGGATGGTTTTGAGGGCCAAACGAAGAGCAGATACTTGAAACTACTCCGAATCAAGACTCTGAATGCGACTTACATTACCAGTAACGCTCTGGCTCTTGTTAACAAACTCGCAACCACTGGTTTGTGATGATCTCCCCTGAGCCAAATTTATCGTCTTACATATACATAAGATATAATCTCGTTTTCTCGTGAGCTTAACCTAATTGGTCGAGCCTTCGAGTTTATATGTCAGCAAAAATATAATAATATATCTATCTGGATATGTATTAGTTTCATGCGTGTCGTAAATAGGACGATAATAAGTTAGTAAAAAGTCCTAATACAGACAGAATAAGTAGTTTGCTGTGAATTATATATTATATACACGATTGCATTAGAATGTCATGCAATATATCTACTTATAATATTTGCTTTTCATAATTTTACAACTTGGGTTGCTTTTCTTTTGATATGCCCGAGTATTATATTGCATCTCTGTGTGTGTGTGTGTGTATATATGTCGTCTGCCAGAAAAGAAACTCAGTCGACTACCTTATTTCTTGTTGCTTCCTATTTTCTTGAACTTTACTGTTCAAATTAATGTGGAACAGTTTCTAAACGTGTGATTGATTAAATCTTAACCTTAAAGATAAGGAAGACTAAGACAGAGTTATTGCTACTTCATTTCTATATTATAATATGATATAATTACGTGCAAAAAAATTACATATAGATTTACTTTTAGTTTTTAATTTTTTTAAAATAAATTTTACATTTATACTGAATAAATTGAAAACAATTTTCTTTTTATAAAATAATTTTTTTAAAATTTTTTTTAAACAATAAAAAATTTAAATTAAATCTTTAACATGTCGTGACTATTTTAATTAAAAAATGTAATTATTAAAAAATATATTAATAAATTAAATTTTAATTTTATTAAATTAAATATTATTGAACTGTCATTTTTAATTTATAATATATTTATAAAATAATAAAATTTTATATTTTTATTAAATTTCAAACTAATGATCTTGAAAAGAATAGTTCGTGTTTTATTAGTTATACGAAACTTTAAATTCGTAAAATTAGGCCTTTGACCTCTCAGCAGGAGACACGAGTTGGTGTTCTAAATTGGCGACGAGCCCAAATAAACATAAACACAGTGGTTCAGTGATAATTAATATAACTGAATATATTAATTATATAATTAATTAGTTAATCAAGATTTATTAATCGAAGATTAAGAATGAATATTCTGAAAAGGACAAAAAGACAAGTGATTACGAGGGATGATTTGGTAACTAATCAAACTTAAATTAATCAAATTAACCCTTTTTTTTTCTTTTTTAATTACCCAAAAAATATTATTTAAAAAAAAAAATAGGGATATAAATATTACAAAAGGGCGGGAAACGTGGGAAATAATACACCGCCACGTGGATGGCAGAGCGTCAACGTCGCTTGATAAGGAATACTCCTACGACGTGCGATCCAAGTTCTGTCATAACTGGGCCCCACTCCCACTCTCTTTTTTTTTTCTTAATAAAATTAATAAGAAGATAAATTATTTATTTAATCTCTAAATTATATATTTTTTATTTTTATTTTTAATTTAATACATTTAATATCCAATAAAAAATTATAAGAGAAGGAATAATAATATATTAATTAATTAATTTTAGGAGTAGATAGTTGGAGGCATGCATGGATTTGTAGGTAGCAAATCAGGAATATATATATATATATATATGTATGTATGTACAAAGTACGTATAATGAAACCAAATTGGCAGGGAAGAATATTTATAAATCAAATTCAATACATAAAATATTATATGATTATAATATAAATATATACATGTATGCGCAAGTTCAAGTTACGTAATGATAAATTTAGTATTGATTAATTATGTTAGTTATATGGATCAAGGCGGCTTACAGGTTGTTTTGACTTGTAAGCATATATATATATATATATATATATGAATGTTGCAAAAATAAATAAAAAGTTATATATATATATATATATACACAATTTTTTTGGTTTTGACCAAAAGTAAAATTAGTAGATTTTACTCTTATGTGTTCAAATTAATTTTTTTTGTCCAACATTTTGATGTATGGATACTTTTATTTTTACTAAGTATATAATTAATATGTGAGGTATATTATAGGAGAAATAAATTGCAATTTCTATATGTATGTATGTTAAAACTTAGTTTCATGATTAATAAAATGCCATTGCTCCATGAAGTTCATATGAGTAATTAATACGAGTTATTTTTGTCATGTATATAGAGAGGCTTGGCCATATATTATATACGAGAGAGTTGCTTCTAGGGATCGGACTTCATTCGAGGATTGGACTTTCTTTAAGTTTAGCCGTAGGGATCTTGATATTTTTCATTTGTCTTTTTTTTTTTGCAGATGACTTGCTTTTATTTGCCGAAATCTATATTAATCAGTGAGGGTATTCAAAATTATGTGAATTCCTTCTACAGTAACTCTAATCGAAAGATCAACCTCACATAAATTATGAATTTTTCTTTAAAATAATGTATTAACTCAGACTACTTGAAACTTCAACGAACTGAGCACAATTCCACAAGCTATGAACTTGGGTAAAAATCTTAGAGTTCATCTCATATGTTTAATTATTAGTAAGAGATAGATGTATCAGAATTTTATCGAGCGTCTCAAAAAAAGACTCGTCGGTTAGCAGTTTTCCAACATGTTTATAGGCTAGACATGCTGTACTTGCAAAATTGATTATGTCCATTATATCTTATCATACTGTGCATATTGCATAGCTCTTCCAATGTATCACTAAGTACATAAACAAACTTATTAGATATTTTATATGAAGTTCTAGGTTGGGACATCCTAATATTAATCTAATTAGTTGGTATCAAGTTTGTTAAGCCAAGGAGTTAGAGGGCTTGGGGATATGGAGCGCATTAAAATAAAGTCACAAGATATTTCTTATGAAGCAATGTCTCATCAAGGAACCTTATAGTTTTTGGGTTTAAGCACTTAAAGCTAAATATTTTTTCATAATAACAATCGGTAATTGATGATTTATCTTTTCGTGGCTCTGTTACTCAGAAACATCTCTTCAGGGATTTCTACTTCCTTAAGAGTGGAATTAGATGAGATATCAACAATGACACTGTATTAATTTTTTTTTTAATTTTAAAGATCTTTATATGAATGATAGACCGCTGATCCATCTTATATAGATCTTAATCTTGATGATCATTTAGATAAAACAACAATATAATATACTTCCCCTAATAAGGTGCAAAAATGAAAGTAATTTACTAATATTTTTTCCTACATGATACGCTTGCAAACTGCCTTT